CCGCCTGAGACTTCCTCACAATTCACTCACAGACGAGGCTCCCGCCTGATACTTCCTCCATATTCAGGCCTCAAATCAGCGAGTATGTGATGATGATGATGATGATGATGATGATGATGATGATGATGATGATGATGATGATGATGATGATGATGATGATGATGATGGTGATGGTGATGGTGATGGTGATGGTGATGGTGATGGTGATGGTGATGATGATGATGATGATGATGATGATGATGATCGTTCGATGCCGATGATGGTGAGTGATCGTGTGATGGTGATGGTGATGCTGATGGTGATGATGATGATGATGATGATGATGATGATGATGATGATGATGATGATGATGATGATGATGATGATGATGATGATGATGGTGATGGTGATGGTTATGATGATGCGGAGGAGGAAGCAAAGAAGAGCAGAGGAGAGGGAGGAGGAGGAGGAGGAGGAGGAGGAGGAGATCCTGCGCGGAGGGTGTGCAGAGAAAACAAAAACCCCACTTAGGATGTGGGGAATAAGAAGACGCGGGCCGCGAGAGGTCGCGCTTCGGGTGCCTGCTCCCGCCTGGCCTCAGGAGGCCAGCAACTCGTACAGCTCGAGGTCCCAGCCGGAGCTCTGGACCTGGAGCTCGCCCTCCGGCTGCCCCGTCGGCTCACGGGCGAGAGCTCCCCTGGTGGCCGTCCTCACCGGCTTGTGGAGCTGCTGCCCGGAGCTCCTCGGAGCTGCCAGCCCAGTTCCAGCGCGCCCCGACGCCAGCCGATGTCCAGGCCGCGGTGGGGAGGGGGGCAGCGAAGGCTGACTCGCCTGCCCCCCCCCCCCCCTGCGCCCTCCCTCCGCGGGAGAGGCGCGCCTTGCCAGCCGCTCCAGCGCCTTCGAGAGCACGGAGGCCACCGACCGCCACAGCGGGAGCGGGGTTCGGTTCGTCGCCGCTGACGGCGCGCCTCGCGAGGGGCGGGAGGCATCATCCAGGGCCGCATCGGCCAGCACCTCCGGGAGTCTTCCCCGAGATGCCAGTGCAGTCGTTGTGGGGGGCCGTCCGCGTCCCTTTGCGGCAGCAGATCGACCTGTTGCATGTTGGGCACTCGTCTTACAGCAACTGGGCATTCTGATGCGGCAGTGGAGCATCGCATCTCCCAGGCTCTGAAGGCGTTCTGGGCTGACGGTGCTCTCCGATCACAGGACTTCAGCATGCGAGAACGCCTCTTCGGGTATCATGAGAAATTCCCTCGTCCATGGCGTATGTTGCAGACCCGATTCAAACGCTCAAACGCATAGGAGATGGGCTTCTGCGGAGGCTCGCCCGCATCAGGCGAACGACCGGTGAGGCCATGGGAGTGTACATGAAGCGAAGCACGCGGCTCGCATGGAAATGGTGTGTGTGTGTGTGTGTGTGTATGTGTGCGAATGGGCTTCCAGACTGTCGGGGAGCAGGTGCTGCTTCGACTGTACCGCTTTGCAGGACATACTTGCCACCGTCAGAACGTGCAGGAAAGCTTCGTCTCGGACACCATGGACATGGCGCACGAGGCTGGATGGTGCATGCTCTCAGTTCTCGGGCGCGTCATGCAGCTCCACGGCAATTTGGTCGCTGTAGTCTGCCGGGGCAGATGGCAGCACCGCGCCAGCTGGAAGCGCGGCGCACGGCTACATGGGAAGACACGTTCATCTGCTGGAAGGGAACGTCGTGGCGGGAACTTCGCGGAGCCAGCTGGTTGGTCTCAGCAAATCGAAGAGTTCGGAGGGCGAATGAGGGGGTCTGCAACAGGGGGTCTTGAACGGGGCTGAATGGTCCATGTATGCTCAAACTATCGTTCATGTATGTGATCGGGTACGATTGGCATCCAATCTTGGCGGTCATGGAGGGCCAGTCGTTCGTGCCCGCGCGTTGCCCGCGCGGGCAAACGCGCCGTCCATCCATTATCGTTCATGCTTGCGGGCGTTCTTGCATACTGCGCGTGGGATCCGACGGGCGTGCTTGACTGTAAGAGGCCTCGCCTAGGGGGGCACCTTTGACGGCCAGATACGTAGAAAGCGCCGACGCAATAAGAGGTGATCGCCGCACGCGTTGTTGCGATGGGGACGAGTGCGCGGCAGTGGTCTTCTTACGGGCTGGGCGTTGCAGCTGTGGAACCCAATGAAACTGCGCAGTCCACGCCGTCGCAACGGGAACATTGCACCGCGCGGCTTGACTCCGCTTGGCCAGGACCTGTGGGCGCTGCGAGGGCGAGCAGCTCGATCGCGACGGTGCACTTGACAGGTCGGGTCGGCGACTTGCCCGACGGCGCCCACTGCGCACGCGCCGAAGGACGCGTTCCTCAAAAGAAGCACGGCCCCACAACGAGCGTTGACGGCCGCGGTGGGTGTGCTGGCCGATTTGACTTGACTCGGCGGTCGATTACCACGTGCGCATGGCAACCAATTGAAAGAAAATCGTCGCCGCGGGCGCGCGGGCCGCGCCCGCAGTCATGGCTGGCGCGCGTGCGCCGGTCAATCA